GTGGAACCCTGGGACCCGTCCCATCTGAAGGGGGCGACCTATGATGAGCCCTCGACCCAGGATCCTATGTACATCGTATCCAGCAAATTCGTGTCGTGACGACCCCGGCGTTGGCTCCGGACACCGCGTGGAACCCTCGGCGGCTGCTCGATCGCCAGATCGCTCCATGGTGGCCGATTCGAGGCCACTGGCGGCCTTCAGCCTTGAGCGCCCGCGCTGGGAACGTCTTCGTGTCGACACGACACGAGCCTGGGGCCCTCCTCCTCCTCCTCCTCCTCCTCCTCCTCCTCCTCCGCCTTCTCCTCCTCCTCCTCCTCCTCCTCCTCCTCCTCCTCCTCCGCCTCCTCCTCCTCCTCCTCCGTCCTCCTCCTCCTCCTCCGCCTCCTCCTCCTTCTCCGCCTCCTCCTCCTCCTCCTCCACCTCCTCCTCCTCCACTTCCTCCTTCTCCTGATCCTCCTCCGCAGCAGCAGCCTACCGTATGCCAGGTCGTCTGGTCGGCCAAGGAGCTGATTACAGACGCCTCAGCTTCCCAAGCTGCGGGACGCTGGAACGCAGATGCACCCAACTCCTTCGCCAAATTCCTTGGTTCTTTGGCCGACCAAGCGACGTGTTGTATACGTCGAGCCCCTCTGAGAAGTACCCATTGTTTCCACTTGTCCTGGATAAGGCGATCCTAGGCCCAAGATAAAAATATGCACCACTCGCGGCACGGCATGTCAAAACGTCGGCGAACAAGAAAGTAGTCGGGCGACCGTCAACGCAACTGTATCTGGCTTGCTCGATGGGTGAGAGCCAATGGCCACGCGTTCCTGGTTTCCTGCGCTTTGTGTGCATCCAGCACAGATCTTGGTACTCATGTTTCCCTCCACCTCATCTTGTGATGGGAGTCGCAGGGCCACTCATGTCAGCGTCCAAGAGATACGCTGAGGACGCAAGCACAGCAGAGGACCAATGTCGCGTGAGCAGCGAGGGTCACTATGCGTTGGGCCCAGTGCAGCACCGTCTCGCGTGTTTGCAAAGCTCCCAATGCATGCAGAACGGCGGGCTCGTTTCGTGGCGACCTCGGCGCTGACTTCTGACGCCGCGCGGATCGCGTGACCTGGAGGGATCGCGGCGCTTGGCTGGCACATGGCCGTTCGAAATCCGACCATTCTGGGCCACTGGCGGCGTTCAGCCTTGAAGAACGCCCGCGCTGAGGTCGCCGCGCGTCTGAGAGGGGGCACGTTCGGGGGGGACTGGTTCACGAGGAGAACATACATACATACATACATACATACATACATACATTCATTCATACATACATACATACATACATACAGACATGCATACATATATATATATATACATGACATCGGCGATGCATCGCCGATACATCGACAACAGCCTCCCGATAGCGAATCCGCACGCTCCTGGGCGGGGTGGGCCTATCGGCCCCCTACCAGCGATCAATGAGCGATTGGGGGTCGATGCTCCCCCCCCCCCCCCGAGCCCATGCCTCCCGAATGTTGCCCGTGATAGGGGCCGCAGTCGCGTCGACACGAGCCGAACCCTTCGTGGCAATTCGTGGGAGCTTCCAGTGCCAGCTTGCTGGCACATGCGAACTGGCGCTGGCCGATGCTGAGCGACGTTGATCGACGCCAGTCGATGCTAAGCTGGCACTTTCCAGCGCACTCGAATGCACTCGAATACTGGAATGTCGAGGACCTAGAAGGCTCCCATGATTGGCGAATTACCGAACGAGCTCACTGTGTGCACCTGGCCTGGCGAGGCATCCGCCCCCCCCTTTCTGGGCGCCGCCCGGTCGCTGCACTCTGCGCCCACCCCCGCCGACGCGGCGGCGCGTTGGGCTCCAGCTGAGCCCCTCGGTGCGTTTCTCGCGGGCCCCCCAAACACACCTGCACCACCACCTCTACTCTCAGAGCCCCGAATCAGCAGGGGTAACTCGGGTCAGGGCCAACCCGGGTTCGTTTTTGTGGGGATCCCGAACCCGAGATACTCTGGGCCCGAGTTACCCCGGATAAGTCGGGCGTCCAGAGCCCCAAATCATCAGGGGTAACTCGGGTCAGGGCTAACTCAGGTTCTTTTTTTCGGGAATCCAAGCCCGAGTTACCCCGGGCCCGAGCTACCCCGGATAACTCGGGCGCCCAATATTCTCCCTCCCTCCTCTACCCTCCTCTTCCTCTCCTCTGTCCTGGGGGAGGGAGGGGATGAGGGAGGCGGTGCCGCCAGCGTGCTCCCTGGCACGTGGAGGCGTGCTGCAATGCCACGTGCTGTCTGGGAAAGCTTGTGCATTGGCTACATAAAAATTACACCAGATCAGGACCCCAATCAGTGGATGCTTTGATGAATCGTGGGATCGATGACGAGATCGGCCAGGAACCCAAGATTCCGGAACCCACCGCAATCGTCCTGGAACCAACAACCAAGAACCCGGGACCCCGGAACCGGGGAACCCCGCCGGCCACCAAAATCGGCGGGACACGTTCGCCAAATCTTTCAATTTCCGCTAGGACCCCTTCCGTGCAGGCACTGACTGGGGAATAAAGAAAGGAACCCTCGCACCTCCAGCTGGCCATCGCTCGGACGTCCATTCCCTGTGCTTTTTCCGGTGTTGTGCGTGGCTTTTTCGCCAACTGATCAAGGATGCTCCTCGATGGTCCTCGCCGAAGGAAAAAAGCACACGTCCGAGCGATGCCAAGCCAGGGGCGCAGGCAGGCGCGCGCACCGCCTCCCCTCCCTAGGCCACAGTCCGGCGCAAAATTGCGACAGCCTCGCGCTCCCGAGGCCCGAATGCCTCCAAGACGGCCTCTCGTATCGCTCCAGGACGGACCAAAGTTGGCCCCAAGATGGCTTCAAGACGGCACACGAGACCGTCGAGGCGTCCCAAGAGAGCCTCACGAGCCTTCCCAAGAGAGCCCCGAGAGGCAACAATCATTGATTGTTGATTGGTGTTTCACTGTTCTTCGGGACCTCGCCTTTTCGAGCATCCGACGGCCCAAAACATCCCAAGAGGCCACCAACACTGCCCCAAAACGGCCCACGAGGCGCCCAAGAGGTTCCCAAGATAGCCCAAGAGGGCTCCAAGACGGCCCCGGAGGCGCCCAAGAATGCCCCAAGAGGGCCCCAAGAAGGGCCTACGAGAGTGAACACGAGCCGACAATTCGAGCCTTCTGACATGGCTCAGGAGGCTCCAAGAGGGCCATGAAAGGCCCCCAAGAGGGCCCCGAGAGGCACAAACTCGTGATTGTCCGTAGGTGTGTCCATGCTTTTGGGGTTCTCACCTTTTCGAGTTTCCGACGCTCCACGACGGCCGAAAAGAGACACCCAAGACTCCCCACAGACGGCTCAAGAAGCCTCCAAGATAGCTCCAAGACCTGTCAAGAGGGCTCGAAGACGGCCCAAGAGACCAAGAGGTGCCCAAGTCTGCCCAAGAGGTCCCCACGCCGGCGTCAAGAGTGAGAACCCGAACGAATAATTCGCGGCTCCTGCCCCGTGAGGCCCCCGGCAGGCCCCCTTGCCTTCTCGAATAGATGCCACCCAGAATGCTGCGCTGGCATTGTGGCGGAGTTACTGGAGGCAGCTGGATATGTTTGGGCGCTGTATTTCTGCTGTTGTTTGCTTGATCGGCCGAAGCCCAACTCCCCGCGCACGACGCCGATGTGAGGAAGCAGCGAATGGAAGGTCTTCGTCGGAACGATGCGATCGAGCCCGATTAAGGAACCATTGCCAGATTAGGCCAAACTCAGCAAGGGATTGAAAACAATTTGGTTTGGGCCTGACTACATGGGACTATGCGGGATCACGCCTGTTTCGACTATGGATCTACCAGCGCCGATGCTGAATTCAACTTCGGGCCCTGGGGCGAACATCAAACTTCGGAGGTTGAAAAGGCGGCCCATCAAAAAGGATGGGGCGGGGAGCGCGTCTCGAAACAATCGGTCTAGGCCGTCATCCCTGGGATTGCGGATCCACGGGGCCCCTCCATCGGCCCACTTCCTTCTTGGGACCAGAAAGGGACGCTGGCTGCCGGCTTGGCCCCGTTGGGGTTCCGCCCTCCGCAGTGGAAACATCTAGCTTCGCCGCCACCGTTCCACGCGCTGCAGGTTCTTCAGCTCCAGCCTGGCACGGGACGCACACAGACATACTAGTACTCGATGTTTTTTGGGGGCGGCGCGCGTCCGACCCAACCATATTGCACACGCATCTTGTAGGAGATCGTTTCCCGAGCGGTGTGGCCAAAAAGCGCCCGCCACGACGCACATACTATAAGACTTCTCGGTGCGCGCGTCGCCCCCCCCCCCCCCCCCCCGGGGGCGACGTACATATAGGATAAGTACGTCGGGATGACGCCAATGCCATGGCACCTCCTGCAAGGAACCTGCTCTGCTTCCCTGCCGGACAGGGCCTCGCAAAAAAAAACAGCCGCCGCTGCTGGGGCGGAGCAGCGAACGGCTCGGCCGGGCGCGGGCCTGGCGAACGAAGGGATCACGCCGTGGACCAGCGGGGTCCACTCTGCTCTCGCGGGCAGCTCAACGCTTGAGCCTCTGGCTTGAGCCCATACAAGTGATACGGCCTGCTCCACATCCTTCTCGTCCTCCTCTTCCTCCTCCTCGTCCCCGTCCCCGTCCCTCCTCCGCCTCCTGGTCCTCCTCCCCTTTAACGCTGCTGCTGCTGCTCCTTCTCCAAATCACCCCCCCACCCCGCGACCGCGTCCCTAATTGCTTTTGTTGGGGGGGGCGGGGGGCACGGAGATTCTCATGTCTCATGCGCTGGGCTGGTCAATCTCGCGCATGATGCTACCAACCAGCGTTCGCACAGAGGGGTGAGCGAGGGCGGCGGCAATGGATCAGAATGTGACGTGCGTTTTCCTGCAAGGCTCGCTCATCCGGAAGCACAGCAAAATCCCAAAGCTCTAGCTGCACCCGCATTCCGGAATGATATGTGCGAGAGCACCCACACGGCCGCTGCCGCAGGAGGCCGATTTCCCGGGCCTTCCCATCTCACCGCCAGCTGCCGCCGCTCCCGCAAACGCTGCGAACCAGCGATGCAAACCTCACCTTTCGGTTGTCTGAAGATCCGTGTGGCCCAATGAGGTACTCCAGATTTCGTAATAAAGGGAGGGGGGTCTCATTTCGGGGGGGGTCTCTTCCAGGCTATCTTGGAGGGCCTGGGGGGGTCTGGGGATGATGTTTTGGAGGGTTCTCCCACGGAGGAGGTCTGAAATGGCTTGTCTTGGAGGGTCCAGACCCCCTCCCTTTTATTACGAAATCTGGAGTATGGGGCTGGAGAATTTCGAGATCATCGATGGGCAAAGAATTTCCCAGTGGAGCACTGCCCAAGGAATCCTTCACTGCTGTGGTGCCAGACTACCAGCGGCAACAGTGATGTGCTTCCGGCAGGGCCCTGGGAGCTCCTCAGGTGCTCGTCTTGAACTGTGCTGGTTTGATTTGCGTATGCTATGCGCTGCTCCGAATCGCTCGCATACCTTTGGCTTGCATTGCGTTCGTTTTTGCTTTTTGATGCTTGGTGTTGCCTTGCTTATAGTCCTCTGCGCCGCTCTCCTTTACATTGATTGGCAAACTTTTGCGTTGCGATTGTTAGATGTTCAGTGCTACGCCTTGCTCCGTATTGCTTCACTTTGCGTGTAAATGGGTCTCCTGCCCATAACACTGCATGGATTTGCTTACTATTGCTTTGCACGGCATTGTTTTGTCTTGCTTCACGCTGTTGCGCCTTAATTGCTGTGCATTGATTTCAATTGAATTACTTCTCTGTGCCTGAAATTGCTTTACATTTCGTCGTAGAGTGATCTTTGCGCTTCGCTCTGCTTCGACTTGCGGCGTGCATTACTCACATAATCCCCAACATCGTGCTACTTTGGTGTTCGTCGTTTTGTGTCCATGGCGTGTCCATTGCGCTGTGATGCTTTGCGCTGTGATGGCTTGGATGAAAATCGTCCCCTGCAGTGGGCACACACGGCAAGACCCCTTACCATAAGAGACCTAGCGGCGCATCCTTCGGCGACACCGAGCTTCGCAAGGTGCATCAGGGCTCTGCGGCCCCATCTGGAGAGAAAGTATTTACATGGGGCACCCGTTGGCAAGCAAGTTTCCTACTTGGTGTTCCCTCCAGTGCATGGGGTCGCGCCTGGGCGAAATACAGTCATCGGCCTGACCTCAGGAACGATGAACAAGGAAGGAAGCCTTTCCTTTTCCAAGGAATAACGCATAAGGAACGATACGCAATACATAACGCATAAGGAGCGATAAACATCGCACGCAAACTTATAGAACGACCGAACCCCTTTTGAGAAGTAAGTGTTCCTTACTCAAGCCGCTCACTGTAGTCACGAATGGCCCCCGATACTGGGATCGGGTCACTCGCGCAGGGCTCGCACGTTCTTTGCCCGAAGCAGTGCTTGCACTGAGAGGTTCCCTCTTCTTCTTTTCTTGAGGAACCGGGCGTGCGGGCCGATCTGGCGGCCCTGTTGTCGCCGTCGCCGCCCCGTCTCTGTCGCCGTCGCCGCCCCGTCGCCGCCTCGGCGAGGCCCCGCACAAGTGCACCACACAGATTGCACCACATGGATTGCACCACACAGATTGCGCAACGTAGATTGCGCCACACACACCACACACATATATGTATATACATATATATACACATATATATACATATTTACACAAGACTGCAGTGGCACTTCGCGCCATGCACCTTGGTCCTTCGAGTTTCGCACACGGGCGGCGTGCGTGCCCGCGCACATGCGCGCGCGAACATGTGCACGCCGTGCATATCTAGACATACAGGTGTGTATGTATTGTATTATATAGATGCGTGCGTGGGTATATTGGTGTACGTGTTTTCACATATATACACGTATATATATATATGTACACACATGTATCATACAATGTATCATGTCTACATGGGCAGATCTACGTGTACACATATGCATATGTATGTACATGTACGCGGTCGTGGCCACAAAGGGGGGGTGCCAGGAACGCAATGAAGGGCTCGAGAGTGTCGAGAGACTTGGGTAGGAGACGGCATGGAGGACACGGCAGAATGTGGAACGGCGACCTGGGCTTACCAATGACCGTGTCTTTGGGACTATGGAAGGAACCGTGTGAGGGCCTTGGGGGGCCTCGGGACCGTGTCGCAGCGTGACTCGATTATCTCGACGCTGAAACTATTTTGCACCGCCGTTCAGAATGTTAACATCACGTGGACCTGATTGGAGCCTCCCGGAACCTACTGAGGGCCTCTGTGGGACGTGTAGTCCCGTTATGGCTTGGGCCCGTCTTGGGGCGCGTATTGGCTCTGCTGGGCTAGCTTGGGGTCATGTTCGGGCTCCTGGCCCGTTTTGGGCCTGTCTCGGGGACCTTTTCGGGCTTCTTCAAACTTCTGTGGGGTCCTTGCGGGATATTTTGGGACTCTTCGGGACCTTTTGGGGCTTCCTGGGCGCCTCTTGGAGGTCAGTCGGGCCGTCTTAGGGCGATCTTGGGGGCCTCCTGGGCCGCCTTGAAGTGTCGGGAAGCCGAAAAGGGGAGAACCCAATAATCCAGCACATTCACCAGACAAATCAATAAATTTTGCCTCCTAGGGACCTCTTGAGTGCCTCGTGGGACGTTTTGGAGCGATCTCGAACTTCTGTGGGGTCCTTGCGGGATCTTTTGGGAACCTCTTGGGGCTTCCTGGGGCCTCTTCGGGGCTCCTTGGGAACCTCGTGTGGTCTCCTGGGGCCCTGTCGGGACTGTCTCGGGGCCCTCTTTGGCCGGTTTGGGGCCCTCTTGCAGGTCTGTCGGGCCATCTTCAAGCGATCTTGGGGGCCTCGTGGACCGTCTTGGAGCGTCGGGAAACCGAAAAGGGGAGAACCCAAACATCCCGCAAATTCTCAAGGAAATCAATGAATGTTGCCTCTTGGGGCCTTCTTGGGAGTTCACTTGAAGGCCTCATGGGACGTTTTGAAAAGATCTTTGGGGGCATGACGGTTCTTGTGGGGTCGGCGTCGACAAACTTGGGGCCCTCTGGGGTTATTATTATTATTATTATACATATAACACCGTAAAACGCAACACGAAAAACTCTCTTTTCCAAAATGAAAATGAACTCTCCCACCCTCCCCGCCGGGAGTATCGGCACCCAATTCCGCATTGCAGTGTACGTATGATCCTGCCCCACCGTCCATCCTAAATATGAGCTCGCACCACCCCAGCCAACCGGTATCGGCCCCCCTTTTCCTCCTCTGCAAAAAACGACGATGCGCGCGCACTCGTTCATTCAAAATCATTGGCTCTTATGTAAAATATTTGTTTGCAACAATTGTGACGAAGTGCACTCGCACGCGTCGTCGCGCGCGCATGCCAGAATCGTTCAAAAGGCTTCGCTGTCGCAGAGATGTCAACAACGAGTGTTCAAAAAACTATCAGACACGCGTGGTTTCGCAACACGGATTTTCAAAACAACCTTGCGCGCACGCTCTTGCGATTTCTTATAACAAAACCGTCGTTTTTTTCGCGATTTAAATTTTTCAGGGAATGATACCGAACGGGCTTCGCACACGCATGTCGAAATCGTTCGAACGCCCTTGCGCGCGTGCCGTCGCGAAAACCCTTTGCAACAAACGGGACGAAGTGCGCGCGCACCTCGTCGCGCGCGCATGCCGAAATCCGTCAAACATCCCTTTCGGTTTCGTAGCGTTTGCGAAATCCACTGTCTCGCAAACATGCACAACATCATGGTTTCGTCATATAAACGTTATATGTATGTATGTATGCATGCACGTATGTATGATTGTATGTATGTGTGTATGTATGTATGTATATATATATATACACATATATATACATATATATATATATATATATAGATACACACATACATAAGAAAACCGGTGGTTTTACAACATCGCCATGGAATTCTGCAAAACGTGCCCCCGGCGCCGCATGCCGACATCATTCGCACGCCCCTGCGCGCGTGCGTGCTGGGGGGGGGGGGCACGATCCATATCAAATACAACCATGCGGGCCAGATTCGCGCGTCATTGTGAAGCCTTCATCGCCGACGCGCGGACGCCGTCATCGTCGTCGGCGTGCATCGGCGCCCGCACTGACCGCGCTTTCGTCGTCATCAACATCGTCACCAGCACCGCTACTATCAGCATCGCGTCTACCATTGTCGGCGTTGCCATGATACCGCACCCGCTCAAGTCGCCTAGTCGTACTGAAGTGCCAGCTGGGATGTGCCCAGCGGTCAGCACCACCACGGCCGCGTCGGTCGCGCCAAACTAATCGGCCGCTGCGCGCGCGCGCGCTTGGGTTGGCGCGGCCGCAGAAATGCAACAGCCAACGCCAAGCATGCACCGTAATCGCCACCGCATGGGTCTTGCAAACCAAGTTAGGGGTGGGCGGGGGGGATGTTTGCAACAGCATGGGGTGTGTCAACTCGTTTGCTAAAACGAATTGCACAACGTAGATCGCACCGTAAATATAACACCACATAGAACGCACAACACATATCGCACCACATATATTCTCTTTTTCTAAATAAATAATACACTCGGCCTCCCCTCCCGGGACTATCGTCGCCTTTTTTTAAGGATTGCAATTGACATACGTATCTGCCCCGTCGCCCACCCGATATATGAGCTCGTACCATCCCAGCCTGACCGGCACCGGCCCCCCCGTCATCCTCTGCCGAAACATGCGCGCGAATTCGTTGATTAAAATTCATGAGCTGCCAAGAGCCCCTTGCAAAAAAAACTCCGGTTTCGTGAGGATTTCAAAACCGAGTGCCCCAAAGCATACTCAACACATGGTTTCGCAACACGGCTTGTGAGTTCTTGAGAAACCATTACAAATAAAAACGATACCAATCGGGCTTCGCGCGCGCATGTCGAAATCGTTCGAACGCCCTTGCGCGCGTGCCGTCGCGAGACCCTTTTGCACACAAAACGGGACGAAGTGCGCGCGCGCCTCGTCGCGCGCGCATGCCGACATCCGTCGGAAAACCTTCGGTTCCGTAGCGGTGTCAAAACAGAGTGTGTAGAAAACGAATA